GACCTGCCTCTCTTTCTTTTTTCCTCTCCTGCTCTCCCTTTTTGCGGGATCAACGCCTCAGCTGTGTCGCATCGGGTAATTAGTGACTCGTGGGTCGGTGCGCACACCTGAGGCGTATTCCGGTGATTTGTTGGCTTCCTTATTTATGCCTCTGGCAGACGCCCCGTCGTCGCCGGAGCATTGCGACATGTAACGGACAATACTTGCAAAGTAAGTTATACAAAGGTTGTGTTTGACTCGCATTTGTTAGACGTGTGTAAGATGCTACGCTGACAGTCTCTGTGCGTTTTGGCTTGACCTTATCACGCTAATTATGCGGTTAGCAATACAGAAATACGTGCTTTGTCTTCCACGCTGACAGTCCCTGTGCTGTGGATTACATTGTTTACGTTGGTTCTTTTTGTTCACCTGTCCGTTCTCATCCTCCTGCTATCCTAGTTCCTGTCGTTAGTTTGCGTGTTTACCGTCCTGGTCTCCTTGGTCATCACTGCCCTTCCCTTGTTGTATGTATTATGGACCCTGTTATGTTGTCACTTTGTTTTTATTCCATTAAACCACCTTTTTTGTACTAGCACCTGGGTCGGCCATCTTGAGTCCAACCCCAGTTCTCCCTCACCCTCCTGGTGAGGGGGACTAAACCATAACAAAAAGAATGCAAACTTCACCTATCCTTAGATAAATGTATGCAAATTATATTCTGCTGCTGCTCTGCACAAATCGCAAACAGGTTTCATGAAAAATAGCAGAGCTTTTGCAATACACTTTTGACTTTGTTTTTCTTTTGTTGTAGAAAACAGTGTTTCTCCATTACCTTGGCCTTCTCCCAGTGTCCACTGCTCATCATCATCAAAGTGGGAGTCTCCCCCGATTCCAGGCCCAGGAGCAAAGGCATGAGCCAAGAGGCCATCTTTGCCATCAAAGGGGTAACCATCTCCATGCTCTGTTAATAACATCACTCAGCATTAAAATTAAAATTGAAACAAAACAAATATGAAGTTATGTTCTTCAACAAGCAACAGGTACAGCTATTAGCTTACAGGACACAAATAAATGGCTGGATAGGTATCTACAAGGAAAAACTAAAAGTAACACTACAAGTTATTTCTGAAATGACATTTTGTGTTTTTTACTATTCCTTAATTTTGTTTCTAAAACTGTTTCAGATCTTCTGAGGTGGCTGTTCTATTTGTATTTTTGTGTTCCATTACAATTACAGATATTACAACAGTGTGAGTAAACATTTAAGAGTTATTTTAGGTAAGGTGACCAGAAGTGCCAATGTTTGGAGAACAATTTCTATTTTATGAAACGGGCCTAAAATATAGGCTGGCAGGGCAATGACATATTTGATTGTTCCTTCACCATTAGTCAACAAGGCAGCGAACTTGTGTTCAGCTCTTTTTAAACTTGGGATCCAGTTATCTTCTTGGAAATAGAAGACAACTGCACTCAGGCTTGGTTATAAGCCTGATTAATTTGTTCTTGTTGAGAAAATCTTTGAATCTTAACCACAGACATCATTCCTGTGACCCATTAAGGTACCATTATGCATCTCCGGGGAACGAGAAAACCTTTAAGTACAGTAATTACTGTTATGTCCTAAAACAAGAGATCAGAATGTGACACTAACGGGGTTTTTTTTAAGGCAAATGGGAAATAAACTTGATTTGTTAATAAAATCTGAATGGCAGACATATGGTCTCATTTCAAGTATATATTTTACTTTATTTTAATTTTCAACTGCTACCCCTTGGCCAAATGTTATAATATACAGTTTTAGCACAATGTTTAACAGATACCAGCTACAGTATCTACTGTACATAGCCTATTATCTTGTTTATTTACATGGCATACCATTGCGGCCAAAGTTAACCATGATGTCAGCCTCGCCATCCATGAGCCGGGTGAATGAGAGTGGAGTGACATCACTCCACACTTTGAAGGCTCTGAAGAAAGCATCATTTATGACTTCCTCATCCAGATCAAGAGAGTATCCCAGAATTCTATAGAACAAACGGCAAGAACAGAAAATGACAACAGCTCCCATCAAAATAACAAAAACTTCATTTGATCAAGATATTCTTTCAAATGTCACATTTTGGAAGGTACAGATAAGGGACAAGCCAACATGATGTATGTCAGGGAGGTGCTGTGCCACCAGAACAGTTACAGTGCACCTTGGTTCTATAAGTCTCTGAACTCTACTGGAGGGTTGAACACCATTTTTCCAAAAGATATTGCCTCATTTGTTGTTTTGATGATGATGTGGAGACACTGACACGTGGCTCCAAAATGTCCCATAGTTGTTTAACTGGGTTGAGATCTGGTGACTGTGAAGGCCACCACATATGATTCACATAATTTTCATCCTCATCAAATCATTCAGTGTGCCCTCATGCCCTGTGGATGGGGGCACTGTCTTCCTGGAAGAGACCAGTCATTTATTCAGGATTTTCCTTTGTTATCCATCTGTGTAGACCTATCACTAAATCTCTATCTCTGCTTAAGATGATGGAAAAGAATCCAACAAAAGCCAGATAACAGACTATGAGTCATCTGGTGAAAATGCTTCCTGAAACAATGTTCAGCCACAAACCCTGTTTTCTGAAAACAGTCTAAGATCTCTTAGTTGTTATTGTCTTTGGCTTGCAGTCTTTCTTCCAAACACATAGGCAGATGGACTGGGATGAATACGGCACATGAACCGCTGATATAAATAAACCAGTTCTACATTGTTGTAAACCTCAAACAGAAAGAAAACAAAAGACTTGACACATACTGTGTAGGAATGCTGGTGTTAGCAAGACACAAGATGCGAGCACTTGGGAACTGTGTGGATGGGGGTGGGGTGATCTGAGGTGGGGGGTGTCAGGATGGGCCAAGCAGTGGTTCATCTCTCAAAGGAACCACACTGTGGCTTCATCTTTATACTTTTATGAAGTCTTCAAGCACTGCTTAAAGTTAGTTAACCCTTCTGTGACATCATCATCCTAATCTGGTACATTCAATGCATCTAAAATGACAATAACAGTGGCTCCAGGATGTCACCTAATGCTGTCACCTTTTTATGGGCTTCTAAAATGTCATTATTTGATTATTGCCAATTCATAGCCATGATGACTTATGGACTCAGTTAATGTTAATCCCTGACCTGTAGGTGATGTCTTTCTTCTGCCACATGGGCTTCCTGTGGAAGAAGTTGTAATTGGCTACGTCTGGGACGCCACAGCGGGGCTTTTTCATGATCTCCACGGTTTGGGCGTCAATCTCTCCGGTTTCTGGCAGAGCGAAAAACTGTTGCATTTTCTTCAAAGTGTCCTTGAGCACCATGAGGTTACATCTGTCTTGTGGGCATCCATAAAACTTATTCAGATAGTGCTAAAGGAGAAAAACAGGCAGAGAATTGTTTAACTGTTTATTAAATTAGTCCATTTAAAAAGTAATAAGGTACAAACTGCTGCCCAGCAGTTCAGTTCTTACACTTCATTCACTTTTCACTAACCCACTTAGAAAAATAAACTTACCAGAGCAACTTCTTTGTCTGTTTTGGGGCTATCGTCTCCAGGAAACCTGATAATAGGCGAAGGAGCAGCATACGTTGCTTGAAAGGCGATGAACTGAATAAAAAACAGTTTGTAAACAATCCAACAACTAGAAATCGGAAATCCCATTTTCCCAGGTTAACAGGATCTTAGTTATGGTAAATCGCTCCGGATTGTGATTCGTCACTCCGTAAACTTGAATTGCCACTGCTCCTCTGGAGGACTGCTTTTTTTGTGCCTCCTTAATGGGACCTCCCGCACCCCGGCTCTGTTATGGAAAGCCAAAACCTCATTTCTGCTTGCTCAGGCACTTTTCTCCGCTTTCTGCACAGTCTCCACGTTGAGCAAGAGGAGCGGGGGGGGGGACTCGAAGCAAACACGGGAATAATTTCATACTTAGTCATACTGTGTGGTTAAATGTTTCACTCTTCTTTCTCTCCTTTCATCCGGAAACCGCAAATGAGTGAAAAGAACAATTTGGATCGGATAGTCACGGATTAGCCTGTGGTACAAAATGTTCATATATGTCAGCTGATAAGAGGTGAAGTGAATATAAAAAGCAAACATTCTAGTTATTTGGTCAGGTTGTAGCCCCAGAGAAAACATGCACACAAAAGGGTTTATTCAAACCAAAACGCATTCTTCCCATCACGATGTCATAGCCTACAAACCTTTATTTCTGCATACTACTATTATTAAACTAGAAGTAGGTCGTGCCTTCTCGGTTGTGTAAGTGCATTTTGTGGAAACTGGCGTTTTGCGCATGCTCAGACTGGATCCATCTGTTTGTTTCACCCGAGCCGCAGGACTATCAAAGGCAAAAATGAAATCGTTTTGACTGCAATGAGTTTTACACATACAAAGCTGTAAATGTTTGCTATAGCCTAAATGTGACACAGTATTTGGGTATGTGGCCGGTACCACAGCAACACCCCCACTCTTAACAGCTATTTTAGGTGCTGTGTTGACATCTGGTGGCAGGATGTGAAAACTCATCTTGGCATAAGGACCCGCTGAATGTAACTCTGTGGCCACAATGTCTGATCCTTTCCTTAGACTCGTTTTTACATTTATTTTGAAATAAAAAGATAGGGTTGTTTATCTAATAATTACTAGTATATAAATGGTAGTACAGAGATTTATACATTTGAGAGAAAATGTAACTACATATGTTTCTGTTATATTATATTATGCACAGGAGCTACGGCCAGACTGTAGAGGGAAAAGGGGGAAAAGGCTGTTGTGACATTAATATTACATATGTTGCTAAAATCATAGAATCCAGACAACCCCCCCACCAACACACACACTATAACTTATCCTTACTGTGGGTAATATGTCATATTTTTCAGCTAATTAGTATGTGCTCCATGAAACCATACATATGGCTGATCGCTGAATTATCACAGTCTTCATTGTTCAATGAAACAACCATTGCCAGAAATTCAGCTCAGTGTGCAGAGACAAGACATCAATGGAACAGCCTGAGTTTGCTGAGGCTGCAGCAAAGAACAATCAGTATCACTGCCCTCCAGTGGCTGACATAAGCCTAACATTCCTGTTTGTTCTGAGGCCCTTGGAGCCAGTCTTCTTTACTGACTTGTAGTCTCTGGCATAGATTTAGGATTTACTCTAACTCTCTTTGACATCTCTTTGTTTCCGCCCTCATTCTGGATTACTCGGAACAGCATATGAGAGCAGACTCTTTAATAGAGAGAGCTGAAGCTTTTTTTCTTTTTTTTCAGAGATCTGACAGATGGATAGCTCACAAACAGGATTTTGTGGTATATCTAGCAAAGCAATTTCCCTTGCCTTTAGCCAGAGTAGAGTTAATTTTTCATAGCCAGGGCTGCTGTTGGTGGTTACAGAGTGAATTTAACATCCATTTGCCAACAATATCCATGACCTGTCACTTTGGAACAGGAGCTTTATTTCATACACTGATACATGCTGCTATCTCCTCTACCTGACACACTTGCAGAGCTGGAGAACAGAATGGTTACCTATTAAATGTACATGGGCCTGCATCTCCAAACAGAAAATGCTGAGATGTGAAAAGTTGAGCCACAGTTACAGTAACAAATTGCCTTTGTGGGGGCGGCTGTGGCTCAGGAGGTAGAGCGGGTCGTTTCCTAACCGGAGGATTAGCGGTTCGATTCCCGGCTTGTGCAGTCAACATGTCGAGGTGTCCTTGAGCAAGACACTGAACCCCCAGTTGCTCCTGGTGATGTCACCGGTGTGTGAGTTTGGGAGTGCGAATGGATGAATGGCCGAATAATGTGAAAACGCTTTGAGTGTACTGTAAAAGCATAGAAAGGCGCTATACAAGTATAAGACCATTTACCATATGAATGCAATTTTGCAGGTGAAAGTGGCATAGTGAGATTGAGATGATACAATTTGATTTGCATGTAAATTGTTTTGTTTTTGCCTCAGTTGAATGCTTAAGCTTCTAGATTGAAACACCTCATTATGTATGTGTGTGTGTTTTGATGAAATACTGTTGGCTTTTTTATTAAAAAAAATAAAAGTGTCTTGTTGCTATTGATTGCAAGTGCACCTCTTCCATTCGTATTTCTTGCTGATATGGCTGATTTAAACAGTCATGATTTTATAGAATGCTTTACACTAGTAGAGTTGATTTGTACCTAAGCATTTATACTGCAACATATAAATCACCTTCACTATTACCAGTCTCTTTTTAGTTTGAAAGAAGGATTTCTACATGCATTACAAATGCAAGTTAATGCAAAGCTGCAATATGCTTGCTTTGGTCCTGCACCATACACTTTCATGTAATTAATTATGAGTAGCTTCCTCCAGCACGCCAGCATGGCCTCCTCTTGAGACTGGGAATGGGACATTCTGGACATGAAGGCCTGTCGTATTATAGCTTTCCAGCTGGCTCTGTGTCTTCAGGCTCACTGATTGACCCCAGTCCAGTTGAACAGACTGCAGCCCTGGGTGTCACCCTCTTCCCTCACCAGGCTTTTGCAAAGACCAAGACAGATTCTCTGATGGGTCATCAAAACAAACTGCCTGTATTGCTGGATAGAATCAGTGTCATGACTGACAAATATTACAGTTCCACTGCTCTCATCTTAATCCAACTCAGAGCCCCTCGGTGCTGGGGTAGATAAAGTGTGTAAAGTTCAGTGCCATTTGGTCCAGGCTTGAATGCATAGTTAGCCTGGGTGTGTAGTTAATACTGACATTGAGTGGTTTAGAATCAGTCTATTGGCATTGTTTGTTTTATGTGCTTTGCAGGAGTAATTAAGCAATGGTTGCTGAGTAAATTAATGCAGCTATAGCCTTGTCAATAAATCTGTTTCAAGATAACTTAATTTGGCTAAGCACTGTGTTACAGAATACTGTGACACATATTATATCACTTGGTCTGAAACATTTTGACGATGAATTATTGAACACAAATCCATTATCTTGGACATATTTTATTTATGAATGCACCAAGACACTGGAGGACTGTAACACTGCAGGGTAATTATTGTTCCACACTGTGTCACCACTCTTCTCTCAGATGCAACTGCCAAAGCAAACTACAATGAATCAAAGAATTGCGACTTTTGACTGACATTTTGTGTGTGCACACAGCCCAAAGCGACATTAGCTGAATTACTTTATATAATGCTTTCTCCCTCATTCTGTTTCTCTGTTAGCACACCTTGTAAACACTGATGCAATAATGCATTCCATTATACAGAAGAGAGGAGATGAGTCTCTCTTGTGGCTCCTCTCCATCCCAATAATAGGTCAACAGCTGTATTTAAAAAATTAATCACATTCTTGGCAGTTGCAAAGGTTAGCAGCAACACTCTGAGATGTAATATTGGAAACTCAGATCAGCAGCAAATCTCCGTGGAGATGAGGAAGAGTTGCCTTTGATGAATACAGCATGTAAATGATTTGTGTACGTTTATAGGACATGGGGCTGGCCCTGCCTCACTCCAAGACATTGGTGTCGGCACCACTCTGCGGTAGAGGTTGGCAACAGCACTTGTACTCTTTCAGCAGAATGTCGCATATTCTTATTCCTCTCACAAGCTATCTCTGTTTTACTTTAATCCTTGATTTTTTTTTATTTCTTCATCTTTTTTTCTGTATTAGTCCTGTATCCCATGTTCTCACTTGTCTTCACTTATAAAGATTTCAGTATCCGTGAACATTTCTGTGTGTTATGGTTTGCATCAGTGCTTCCTGTTTTTGTGGTGGTGTTTTTTTTAGCTGAGGAGCTGTACCGTCAACGCTGCCCCCGTGACCCCTGTCCCCGTCACCCCTGTCCCCATTCCCAAGTGGGTTGGCTGTACCGCTGACACTGCCTCTGTCCCCATTCCTCAGCCTGGTGGTGAAGACATCCCAACAGCGTCCCTGCTGGGGTCCATGGTCCTCAGTGTGCCGACAAAGGGACGCCAGCCAAGGTCTCTGCCCCTGTCCCTGAGTGGATTGACTACACTGTCAATGCTATCTTTGTGTTCATCCCTTGGCTAGGCTGTGCCGACATCCCAGCTGAGACTGGGGCCCCCAGGTGTGCTGATGAGAGTTTCCCCGACGAGGTCTAGATCCACAGTGTACCACCGAGGATACGCCAGCCAAGGTCTCTGCTGCTGTCCCTGAGGGGGTCGATGTTGCCTTGGCCCCAGCTTCTGCCCTGCCACTCGGCTCCTTGCTGGTCTTGCCCTTCAGCTCGCTGCCGGTCCTGCCTTTCACCTCACTGCTGGTCCTGCCCTTCAGCTTGTTGCCTCCTAGCCTGTCTCTGCCACTGCAGCCCTCACTCCAGCCTGTCTCCAAGCCACAGCCCCTGCCCCGACCTGATCCTGAATGGCAGCCTTTTTCGTGCCACGGCCACCCTCTGGAGCGGTCTCCTGCCTGGTCCCATGGTCATCCTCTGGAACAACATCTTCATCAAACTCCTGCCCACTGTCGAGGCTGTCCTCCCAAGTGGCCTCTCTGATCTCCTGCCCAGCTCCAAGGTTCACCCGCCCATGTAACCTCTCTTGTTCCTGGCCTGGTCTCTGTTCCATCCACCGGAGTGGTCACTCATGGTCGGCTGGGCGTGGAGCCACACATATTAGATTTTCATAGGTTGTCCCTGGGTGGCTGCACCCTGTTATATTTTATGGGCACCATTGTGGACTAGAATTCTGTGCTTCTCTTTTGTACCTTTGTCCCCGGTCCCTCTCCTTTTGTGTTGGACATTATGTGACTATTGGACTCTGTGTTTGGGACCTGGTGGTTTTGTGTTTTTGTTTTTTGGCGCACTCCTTCCTGGGCCCCATCCTCTCATTCTACCTGGCCTTTTTTTGGTTTTGTTTTTGGATGTCTG